ATCATCCAACTACCTGAAGATACACTAGAGATGATCTAAGATTAAAGTCACTGGAGGTCACAAATCTTTATTAATTGAAAATCTCTTACAGAGAAAATTTCCGGGGATGGCAATAAAATGCAAAATTGCTTATCTTTTATTCACAACTCTCCATCAAAGATTTTTTGGGTCTGGTCGGTTTTGTAAATTTTCGGTTCCGTTTCAGGTTTTTTGGTACGCTTATTTACATTTACTTTAAACCTTAATTTTTCTGAATTAAACTTGAAAAATCTTTATTTGTTACATTAAATTCATCGTGAAAACAAGTCTTAACCATGTTTACATCTTGACATACTAGGTGTTTAGGACTACAAAATCGACTGTTAGTTACAACCTGAATACTTTTGCACATTTTGATAATTATCTAATCCTTTCCTGACAAGTGTTTTGTCGTGCATATGGAATGAAGTAGATTTCAGTTGACAGTTGTGATGTTTATTGATCACTGTTATCGTTTGATTTGGATGCCATTTTTTTTATAAAACAGATTCTAATATATAAATCAGACCCAAAACGAAATTTTAAAAAATGGAACGAACTGAACATCTTGGACTGCAGTTTTCGGTTATTTTTGGGAACCTTTATTGACAGCCTTAGTGGTTTTACCCCAGCATTGATATGGTTGTAGCATTTAGTTTTTAGCTCACCTCATTGAAGTCGAGATGAGCTTATGCTATACCGTCAGCGTTAGCATCAGTGTCCAGGTTAAAGTTTTAGGAACAAGTCCATTCCCAAGTAACTGTAAGCCCTACCTGGACCAAACTTGCATGGATGATGCATCTAGGGATGCACACTACCACACTTACTTTGGATGCTGGATTTGACCTAGATTTTCTTGATGAGTGACCAGCTTTATGTTTTTGGAGCAGGTCCATTCCCAAGTAACAATAAACCCTACCTGGACCAATCTTGCAATATTGGATGATGCAAATCTTGCATGGATGATGCATCTAGTGATGGACACTACCACACTTGCTTGGGATGCTGGATCTGACCTAGATTTTCCAGATGAATGACCAGCTTTAAGTTATTGGAGCAGGTCCATTCCCAAGTAACTATAGACCCTACCTGAACCAAACTTTCATGGATGATGCATCTAGGGATGGACACTACCACACTTGCTTCGGATGTTGGAACAGACCAAAAATTTTTTGATTAGTAAACAGGTTAAAAATTTTTTGAGCAGGTCCATTCCCAAGTAAATATAAGCCCTACCTTGACCAAACTTGCATTGATGATGTATCTAGGGATGGACACTACCACACTTGCTTTGGATGCTGGATCTGACCTAGATTTTCCACATAAGTGATTATGCTGCAAGTAAGGATTTTTGAGCAGGTCTATTCCCAAGTAACTATAAGCTCTTCCTGGACCAAAATTTCATGGATGATGCATCTAGGGATGTACACTAACCAACCTGCTTCAGATGCTGGATCTGACTTAGATTTTCCACATGGGTGAATTTTAGCCATATTTTAACCAAATTAGCATGGATGATGTATCTAGGGATGGACATTTCCAGACTTGCTTTGGATTATGAATCGGAGCTACATTTTCCAGATGAGTGACCAGGGTAATTTTTTTGGAGTACCTAATACTAGCTATATAATATTTTGGCCTGTTATGATTAAACTTGCATAGATGGTGCATCTAAGGATGAAAACTGCCAGACTTGCTTTGGATGTTGGAACTGACCAAAATTTTCTTAATTAGTAAACAGGTTAAAAGTTTTCTGAGCAGGTCTATTTCCAAGTAACTTTAAGTCCTACTTAAACCAAACTTGCATGGATATTGGTCTTGGGATGTACACTAACTAGAAAAAAAAATTAGATGTAACATTTGCCTTACTTATAGATAACATTCGTCGATGTTTGTACCCAATGTTGTGTTCAGCAGGTTGTTTTCATCTATCTTCATATACACAACTGTTGTATATATAGTATAAATAGTTATAAACTGTTTTATTATTTCTAATCTTGACTTTCCATTTGACTTTGACCTCACTTTTCCCAATTTTGCATTATGCATATTGTTTTCATCAGACTTCATATACTGATATACAGCTGAACTTCATTATCTTGAACATGGACATCTCAAATACTATGGATATGTCAAAGTGATTTGCAAGTCCCAAGCACTTTTTCTAATAAGTATTTTACCATCAATATCTCGAAACCTTTGGTATCTCAAAGTGTTTTCTCAGTCCCATTGAGTTTGAGATACCGAGGTTTAACAGCACTGTATATTGGTGAGAGCAAATTCATCTGTCTTAAAATTAAATATTTATTGTAGATATAGAGGATGACAATATAGATACAGTGTATATAGAAAAATTCAAAAGCTACAAACAACACAGTTTTGTACATTTAACACAGTGACTATTCTCTCTTAATTATTGTACCTATGTCATTTACTTTTAGTCCTTTGAAGACATATGCTTTAATTGCATTTTCAGTGAAATTAGGAAATGGTGTATGCCCAAATATTTCAACCAATTTTCAGTTATCAGCGATTTCTTCATATTTTTATGTAATTTAAAGGGGTTCGGACACAGATTTCAAGTTTATGTTTTACAAAGTAAAATATAACTATCCTTAGTATGGAAGAAAAATGGATAATTTGTTGTGTATTAATGAAAAATATTTAAAATCATAATCCGTAAAATTCAGAATAGAAATGTGAGAATTGCCAGTTCTGGTTCTGTGATACGTGAGCATGCAGAGTTAACAAACTGAACACACCCTGTAAAATGTAAACATTCACAATAACAGTGCTTGTACCCAGGTTTACAAACGCAGATGTTTGAGGTTATGATATAAAAGAATATCACTGAAATTTAAGAATTTTTATGTATTACTAAGTTCATTTTGTTAATTGAAGTTATTTTTTTTGATAAAAATGGAAATTTAAAATTGCATTGTACACAAAACAGCAATGCACCTGTGTCCTGGCCCCTTAGTGATACTTGACGTATCAACAGTAAAGCCACCTATTAAGACTAATGATATATATATATTACTTTGATTCCATGGTCTATTCCTTAGGTACTCTAATTGCAAATTAATTTATATAGTAATTTTTTTTTTTTTTAAAAAGCTGATGATTCAAAATAAGTATGCTTCAAAATGAAAACTAAAAAAAAAAAATGAATTTAGATTATACAATTGCAAATTACATGTATAGTAACAGGCTGTAATATTCTGACAGATTAATTGGTTAACCAGTAGCAAATGCTACCCCTATCTTGTTAATATTTTCTGAAAATGTCATTTCAGAGAAGGCAAATATGAGTTTATTGACCCAAAGTCACTTGGGCAAAGTCATTTAGAGGAAAAGAGGTGAAATAAATTATTTTATGCACAAGGAATGTTTTCATTTTATCATATATTAGCTACATTTTTTAAAAATAATTTGTTTTGGAGAAGAGCAGAATTTATACAGTTACGTGTACTAGATAATGACATACTCCCTTTTTGTGAACTTAAATCAGTACATATGTGTCATGAATTCATTTTTATTTTGTATTATTGTTTTTTTAATTCAGCCATGAAACAGTTTAAAATAGGGGGATTGGGAAGACAGCCTGATGTACACAGATATGTCACATTCATTTTTAAAAACCTGTCACAGACACTCTGGATTCTTACTATTCAGAATGAATTTGGGTTTTATAGTTCATCTAATGTTTGGTTCAGAACTTTAATTTTGATATGCCTTTCTTCTGACAGGTTGTATTATGATCTGGGATTTGTTGTCTGGTTGTCTATCCATCCATCTGTCTGTTTAATCAGTGAGGACCATCAAACCTTTGTCAGATGATGCATCATAGGGAAAGATGCATTAAAACCCCAAAATAGTCATGTAAATTCTATATAATTTTGGAATTTGAAGGATAAATTGCAGAATCATGTCTGCGCTATAGGTTGCAAACTGTGAGTCAAAGCACCACTAAACCTTGTTAATTTTTTTGGGAAAGATGTGTAGCATATTAATAGTAGGTCACTTTGACCCCTTTCAGGCATTTTATGGCTATCATATTCAGATCTTGTCCAGAGCATATCTTGCTCAAGGCAAGACCAAGATTCATCAAATTTAGTTGGTTGATGCATCTTGGGTGAGGGGAAATGGAGGGGGAGCTCCAAATGTAGGTCATAGCTTATTTTGAAATTTTATGTTCATCATATCTTGCAGACTGTTGGCCCTAGCAACATCAAACTTTTCATGGTCCCTGCCCCCAGGGGCCTGAGGGTGGGGGCAAAAACCATCCAAATTAATGCAATGTTCAAAAATCTTCCTGTTTACTCCTGGTCATCCAGCAGTCAAACTGTTGACACAGGATTCTCCATCATTTTCAAATTTTACTGTGTGCAAGACTTAAGTGAAGTGGTAATATTCTTGGTCATTTCATGACCAAATTCATGAAAAAAGGGTTGTATTATACTAAAGTGACTGTCAAGGCCCTTGGGACTTTTGTCTTTCTTATGACTTTTTCAATAAAAATGAATGAAAAGGTATTTTTGTCTCTTATGTTTTCCATTATAGAGAACTTTGAGTATGTTAGTTATTTGATTCCAATGTAGTTGCAAATTTTGAGAATGCAGAAATAGGTATACGTACATTATGTGGTTCCAGATTGGTGTATTATGTACCCTAGTGATGCACTTTATTAGCTTTCTTAGCTTACAGACCAGGAAGATTTTGCATTAGTCAATAAGGTGTCTGTCATTTATTAAAAGAACCTATACATCAGTTTAATGTTCCTTGCTGCCTCACTGACCTTATTGAGGAAGTTGTGTTACTATACAGAGAAAAAAAATCACTCCAAGAAAAGTTGTTTCAAGTTAAAGTACATTTTTTCCTCACAGACTATCTTTAGTTCAACCAGTAGAGCTACAGTCTCATCTGGTATTTTAACTTCTATTTTTTTAAAGTGATGATCAGTGAATTTTTTTTACTTTCAGTGTTTCGCATAAGAACTTCTGGATGTCTGCAGATGCCTTAGATGAAGGAAAAAATAGAAAACTGAAGGAAATAATTAATGACTACTTTGAAAGTCAAAGTTTGTTGAATCAGTACAAGCAGAGAGAAACAGAAGAAAAAGAACAAGAGGTAAATCTTTATTACCGTATAAGTTGAATTTTTAGCGAGACGCAAATTTAGCGATTTAGCCATAAAAATATGAATATAATTTTAGTGAGAAGTAATTTGAGCGATTTGATAATATACTGCAAGATAGCCATACTTCCTTAATGCTGGATGAATTATTAGTGATATGTAATTTCAGCAATCTCAACATATTCGCTAATGATGTCAAAATTGAATCCTCGCTAAAAATTCTGCTTATACAGTATTAGTATTTATTAGGTTTCCCCATAGATGTTACTATGTATATTACTTATATTGCTAGACTAGACCCACTCTAGACAATATAGTAAGAAAAATAGTAGGTACCTCTTGCAGAAAATAAATTTAATTTTAAAATTCAATTTCCTGACAAAGCCATATTAAATTGATGTGAGAGAAAGATCAGCCATTTTACCAATTGCAATGTTTGATCCTGGGATGGGAAACTTTTATTTTAATGATTAGATATCCTGTTGGTAACCTAGCTAGCTCGCTCAGATTTTAATTTTCTTCCTCAGGTGTCCAAAAACTAATATCAGAGCTACTATTTTTTAACATCAGCCTCAGTATGCTTCACTGTCTGACATTTTCTGGGATTCTATGCATATAAGGAGCAATATCATTTCCAGTTTAAAGCACATAATCTGTGAAGAGACATCTTATTTGATCTTAACTTAATTGACAGGGAAGCAATGATGTGTATTATAGAAAAAACAAATCTCAGGAGAACATATTTAGTGAAACAATTACATGTATAAAGGATTGTAATTGTAAGCAAGAAAGACTAAAAAGAATTGGGAGTTTAGGTTAAGACTAAACAATTTTTTTTGGGGGGGATGGAATGATTTAGAGGATCATGATATCAATCTCAATCAGGAAAGTAAAATGGTAGCAAAACCTCCAGAGATATAGTAATGTGTCTTCATGAAGCAGATTTTAAAAGCAGTGCAGACTTCATTCAGGGAATGGTTGAATTATATTTGATACATTGCCTTTGTGTGAGCACTAAATTAACCTTTCAAAAATATATTCTTTGTACTTGTCCCTTGGGAGACCCAAAGGCCTTTTCTGACATTTCGATCTGTCCACTGTTGTTATTTGAAAACTTGAACAGTATGAACTTAATCTTCAAAGCCACCAGACCAATGTCAGCTATCTCTGCACACAGCATTTGAAAGCCCATGCCTCCTTTGAAGGAACTTTAAGGTACAACCATAAAGTGAAAAGAGGTTTTAAGATTAATATCTTTTTTTTAAGAAATACTTAGCCCAAAACTACAAATCACACAGCCTAGTGTTATTTTTTTCTCCCACAGAATATAGTTTTAATTGATTATTTTTGGTAAGAATAACATAAAATAAGTACTTCAGAAATTTACGCTGTGTTTAATTCATCATGTAAACATTTAGCAAACATACTTGGTAAGTACATGGTTATGATGAGCAAGGGTGCCTCTTCCAAAATTGTGAATTTCTTAATTAGCCCCTGGGTCCAGGGCCTCTGGAGCTAGGACAGGGCTCTATTGATTATATAGTGAAAATACATTAAATCTTTGAAAATCTTCTCTGCTCCTGGGTAATTAAGAAGGAACAGGACCTTGAACTGAAAAAAATCTAGTCAATCAATTTTTCTACATTTTGTATATTACTAATTTAGTATGTCCTATATTTCGTAAAGCAGTGCTGTCATCAGATTTTTTGACATACTTAAGAGATATCATTGTGCAAATAAAGTTCCTTACAGTTTCCATGTGAAGTCCTCATGTTTATGGGTCCATTAATGAGTTTATAATATGAATTTTTCAGCAAAATATAAAATATGTATAAGGACGTGCATCTTTTCAAATATTTAAGAATATAGATTGAGTTTAAAGTTCTTAAAGTAATTTTTTTATTTCATACGTACTGTAAATGGATGAGATAAATTTGGCACTTTTCAAGATAGCTCAACAGTAAAAACTAGTTTGGGATAAATTCTGTCAATAATTCTTATATAGCTACAATTGAACTGAAGTTTTTCATTTAAATAATTAACTGCAGCAATATCAAAAGATGAAGCTTTTGTCAATATCACACAGGACTTCATTGATTAGGGCCCCGCTCTGCAGGCGCCCTATAGTGATCAGTCTGTCCGTCCGTCTGTCCATCTGAGATCTCTTGTCCGGAGCATATCTTCTCTCTCCTTGGCCCAATCTGGCTCATACTTCACCCACAGAGTGTCTTTGGGTAAAGGGTGTGCAGTGACCTTGAACCATGTTTCTAGGTCTAAGGTCAAGGTCATAGCAGAATTATATGAAAAATCCTTGTCCAGAGCATATCTTCTCTCCTCTTGGTCCAATGTGGCTCATACTTCACTCACAGAGTGCCACTGGTCAGTGGATGTGCAGTGACCTTGAACAAAGTTTCTAGGTCAAGGGTCAAGGTCAAAAATAGCCTCTCTGTTTAAATTCTTGTCCGGAGCATATGTTCTCTCTCCTTCGCCCAATCTGGCTCATACTTCACCCATAGAGTGTCTTTTGGTAAAGGGTGTGCAGTGACCTTGAACCATGTTTCTAGGTCTAAGGTCAAGGTCATAGCAGAATTATATGAAAAATCCTTGTCCGGAGCATATCTTCTCTCCTCTTGGTCCAGTGTGGCTCATACTTCACTCACAGAGTGCCACTGGTCAATGGATGTGCAGTGACCTTGAACGAAGTTTCTAGGTCAAGGTCAAAAATAGCCTCTCTGTTTAAAATCTTTGTTCAGTACATAATTTCTTTCTCTTAAGTCCAATCAGCCTCAAACATTACCAATTGACTTAGGGTACAGAACATTTGTGATTTTCCTTCCATATTTCGATAGAGGATATGCAACAATTTTCATAGAGGATATGCAACATTCGTGATTTTTGTGACTGTTTTTGATAGAGGGTATGGAGCACTCATGATTTTTGTGCCATTTTTTATTATAACAAGGATGACATAGAAGCCCTTTAGACTCAAACAACACATCGCTTAATAGTACACAAATGTTCCTCTTCAAAATAAACCCTTTTCAGCTGCCTTACATTTTCATGTTCGTAGCTGAAAGTGGGGCCCTTTGAGATGGCCACCATCTCAATGATATCTAGTTAAGTCTAAGCATGATAAAAACACTTCATGTTTACATTTTTCAAGTACGGGAAGAACAACACGAGAACTTGAGTAATCATGCCTTTTCCAAAATCATGAATTTTATGGCCCCTGGGTAAGGGGTTCTGGTGTTAGAGTGGGGCTGTGTTGAATCTACAGTAAACATGCATCATTCTTTGCTCCTTGGCATCTAGGAGGGAGAGTACAAAGTTGTAATAAGCAAGGGCATTTTTTACCAGATTTTCGAAATTCTTGACCACTTGGTCAAGTGTTCTGGTGCTTGGCAGGCCTCTATTAATTTGTAGTCTGCTGAGAGAAGTTAATCCCCTTTTCTATTCACCTACGATAACTAATCACTGTAAATTAATGTAATTGAAAGGTCAATTGAATAAGACAAGAATTTTTATAATATACCGGTGTGATACAAAAAGTACTTTCATAGTTTCCATTAGTTAGGGTTATAAATAATAGATAGATAAAGAAACAAAAATACCTAAGCTTAATTCATCCATCAGTTTATCTTGTTTCAAATTTTATACACATGTACTTCTATGGATATTTATGTCCCCCTTCGAAGAAGGGAGGGCATATTGCTTTGCTGCTGTCTGTCAGTCAGTCACCAACAGTTTCTGTTCATTTTCTTTGCAGAGGTTACACATACTGAAATGAAATTTGGTATACAGATTTATCATAAAAATATCTAGAGGAAATACTGTTTTGGGTACGATACAGCAATTTTTGACAGAGTTATGCCCCTTGGACTTAGGGGGGGGGGTAGTTTTTCACAAATATCTCTTGTTTACAGTATTGTAATATACTTAGTATAGGTTACCGTTTTAGCCCTTGGGCCTATTGTTCTATTCAAAGTTTGTCCAAATATAATCACTTGGTCTTGATTCATTGCTTTTAAGATCCTTATTGAATGTAAAGGAGAACTTTCAAAATATTATTATATTCCAGAACAGGAAAGCAACAATATTCAAATTCTCAGTGTTCAGTTAAAATCAAATTTGTCCAAGGTAACTACATGTAGTCTATCCATAGGAACTAAGATGTTGCCACTTTCACTCTGTTTAGGAATAATTATAAGCATTGAATGCTTATTTTTAGATATCTCGGTCCTATAACAGCACCTGGCCATGCTGACAAATTGAATACCCCACTTACACGATATGATAATTTGTCGGCACAGACAGGTGCTGTTAAAGGAATGAAGACATCCAAAACTAAACATTCAATGCTTATATTTACATTCTCTAATTTTCTTTCTTCATAATTGTTAATTTTTTTATCTTTTGTATTATGAATTTAGCACCTTTTAGAATTGGGGTGCTTAATAGACATAAGAGCCGTTGTGATGTGGAAAGTTAAATAACGCAAATGAATATTACGAGGAGAAAAAATGACAAATTCTTAACATACACTTGATATAATTTTACAGTTATTTAATAGGGTTATTGTTTTAATTAATTTGAGTCAAAACAATATGCAGTTTGGTGTTCCTAGAGTAAAAATGCATATAGTTCCAACTGTATATTCTACCGTTCAGTGACAGGGTTTCACATGTGTTATAGGGTATTGAATGCTGTAGATTTCCAATAGATTTCATAAAGAAAATTACACTGATTCTGAATGTTAATGTAATATTTCACATTAGCTGCATTGTCCTAATGATATGGATCCTCATGTGTTGAATATTTGAGTTTTGGGTCAAGGTAAGACCATGCACTGAAGCAGATTCAAGTTCAGTATAAGAATATAAAGTTTCTGTATGGAATGTTCCAGCTTATCCCCCCCCCCCTTTTTTTTAAAAAAAGGATACAAAGCTTTTTTAGATGTAAAACTGATCTCCAAGCATCATATTATACATGCTCTTGCTTGAAATTGGTAAAACTATTAGATAAAGCTTAATTAGGAGTTTTGCTTTCTATTTCTTTGTCAGAATTGAAAGACCAATATCGTTACTGGCCCAAGAAACTTATTTTTCAATATGGTATCTTTATGATTAAAGATCTGCCTGAAGAGACAAATTTAACTATCAAAAGCTTTCTAGAATATTTATTTGTATTCCACTAATGAAGCTTTATTAATCTATGAGGATTTATAATCTTGTGATTTTCTGATATGCCAGATGCTTCAGGTTAATATTGATAATTTTCCCATTTTTTGTCATTCTATAAGGAGATGAACTGGAACCCAGTTGACTGTTGTTTTCCAATGATTTTCTGATTTGCCAGATGCTTCAGGTTAACACTGATAATTCCCACTTTTTTAGTATTGTATAAGGAGATGACTTGGAACCCAGTTGACCCTCCGTATCTTTCATTTATTTTCCATCCAAAGCATAGAGTATACGTGATCCTTTTCTTTCAGCCCTCACCACAAGAGGTCTCTCAGGCAATTGTAGACATCAGACAGCTGATCTGTATCCATGGCCATGAACACAGATTTAACGGACGAGCCGTTGCACGCATTTTCCATGGCATCAGCAGTCCCTGCTTCCCTGCTCAGATCTGGGGACGTGCTCGACGATTCTGGAGAAGCAATATGAACTTAGATTTCAATTTCCTTGTCAAACTAGCTGTGCAAGAATTAATTAAACTTAAGTGAAGGAATCAGAAATATGTTCATGTAAACATCTTTTGATTATCTTTTTTTTATCTCAGTATATCATATGGTTTATTGAATTTTTTTTATATTTTTTGTCATATTTTACTGGGACAAAATTGGCATCTCATTTGGCATAGAGATATGCCAAGGTTAAAGATTAACATATGCATTGGTTAATTTATACATAATCCATTCTTTCAAAAACAAAACAAGGTAAACTAAGAAATTGGTATGGTTTTCCTCTGTTATGTTGATGCAGTCATCTTCAGATGAAAGTAAGGCAAAATTATATTGAATTACATTTTCTATTACTACCCATTTATCTTTTTAATACCCATGGACCAGTAAATGTATCTGCCTCAAAGTTAAAATGCTGGGTGTGTACTGACCATCTGTAATTGCTTCAGTTTTGATTCAGTAATGCAAGTTATATGCTGATGTGTTTGTATATTGTATAATAATGATGTTCAACTTTTCAAAGACCGGAAAAACATGTGCTTTAAAAAAATGTGATTTAATTTGTTTCCCTGCCTAATTGTCTGAGCTTTGTCAATTTAGACTATAGGCAGATAATAATGATTTTATTGCATGGATATTTCTTTTCGTGAAAGAAAATTATGCTCATAAAAATACTTCATGTACATTTTATTGTACAGTTTATGGTAGGTTTCTGACTGGAGTAGAACTGTATCACAAATGCTGGCAGTAAGATGTATATGCATGATTCTGAACATGCACAAAGGTTTTATATTTTGCTATGGCCAATATTGCTACAAGAATTTCATTATGCTTCTACAATGTTTTATTTGATTAAAAGTCCAAATTAATGTAACCTTGATGATCTTAAACTGATTTCAAACTTCGTTCGAATGAAGTATTAATTGTAAGGGGTTTTTTTTCAAATATTTTTAATTGGAATTCAAAAAAAGATGTTTTAAGCCATTTTTTTTTTTATTTTCTTCTGTGATTTGAAGTTCATACTGGTGGGCATGTAATTACGTCATGGATTTTTAGATGCAGAATTATTCCATTGGATTACTTTGGTTCATAAAATCAGTTTGAAAAAAAAATGTACCAGCATTCATATCTTTACATGATTGCATATTTTTGATAAAAGAGAGAGTACTTGAATGCCATCATTTAATGAAATGTCTCTATCAGACTTAATTTACATTTCGTTTCAGACTTTACATAATAATTTTTTTCCTCATTACATAGATTGTATGCAAATATGAGTTAAAAAATTTGAATTAAATATGTTTAGTGTAGAATTTAGCTTCTTTATCTTTTATCCTTGAGTTGACCTTGAAAATCATTACCAAGCTTTATGTCCTGTGATTAAACATCGTTTGAAAAAAAAATTCTTTATCCTATTTTAGAAGAAGGTTGTTGACAGTTCCGTGTATCAAATTGGCAATCGTTGCCATTATCTTACAGTCAGAACTTTTATTTTGCATAACTATGGCTCTGAGAGGAGGTATAATGTCCGAAACCAAGTCTGCATCTGCAATAGTGATGTAACTTTGACTTATAACTATAAAGAATCAATACCAGCTTCCCATTATGGATCTGAGATTGACAGTTAACACAGGAGGGAATATCCTCAGAAAATCAAGCTTTGATAGAGAGCAAAGGGACACACAGGCTCCTATTAATTAGTTCTGCCTTCCCCAGAGCTGCTTAGATGTTTATTATTCGGAGAATATTAAAAGGTCTGCCCTATATTTTGTAGAAAATTTTCTGTCAAATGCCTGACATATTTTCCATTTAAAAAATTAATGTACCAGGAAACATTTTTTATCTTTATAAAAAACAATTGGAAAACCAAACAGTTTGACAATTGATAAAACATACATTAGTTTACATTTTGTTACAAAAAATCAATAATGATGCTGGTGAGTTTTTTTTATGTATTTAAGTGTAACATCAAAATTATGGAGAGCAAACTGGAGCTGTTCTCATTGTACCCAAAAGAGCAAAGGAAAAAATGCAAAACACTGTTTAGAAATTGCATATCAGCACTCCATAAAGAAATTTTCTATGCACATATTGAAACATTGACCTTTTCCAGGTGTACCAGGTGCTAAAAATTATGAAAAATCCTTTGATTACGAGCAGTCATTACGTCATGTATGAACTTTTACAATCTTTAAATTATAAAATGGCCCAGACAAGTTCTTCATATTTGAATAATTTCATGAACTCTATTCAAAAATTTTACTCATGGTGATGAAATACCTTCAAAATGTGAGCGATTGGTTTCGAAATTGAGGTTTTACAATGTGGACATTTCAGTTATAACCCAGTCAAGAATTTATATTTTGTGACCTTGTTCAAATGGCATTGAATAAGTTCTTGATACACGAGAGGATTATGAGCACCGTCCAATGTAATCTGCTCTGAAAGTTTGTGCCCTTCACAAGAATGTACCTTATAACCTAGAATTGGAATAAATGACCTTTGGCAACCTTAAGGACATACGCAACGTAGTTTGAACTTTATTGTCTTTTTCCCTGGAGTTGAAGAGTTCCAATACTTAAAGGAACTGTGTTCTACATTTTAATGTCTATATATGCTGTTGTACACTTCTTCTAAAACAAGTTTGGATTAAAAAAAACATCTAGAATATATGTTTTGTAATTTTTGTATATTTTTCTTTGAATTATACAAGAATTTTCATCAATTGATATCTTTTCAAAACCCCTGGTAATACATGCTGATTTTTTGTCTACAAACATCTGATGAAACTATAGTCTTAAATTAAGAATATCTGGAAAAATTATCAGTAGGTAAGGTACGTTGCGTATGTCCTTAAGCTTTGTGCCAAGATCTGAAAGCTTTGCAAAATAAAATAGCCATCAGAACGCATTCAACTTTTGTGCAAAGTGTGAACACTATTAAGATTTCAGATACGAGTATAGTGGTATCATCATTCAAGCAACAGTTTTCCATGTTGTGAAGCATCTGTTGATCTTACAAGACTTTGGCGTACTAAGTATTAGTGATAATGTGGTAAGGTGGACATTCTACGTTTTATTCTTGTATTACAGATCGGTTTTGTTACTGATATTCGTGTAATAAAATCAGAGCTATAGGTGTTTCTATTTCTTAAACGTATTTCATATCCTGCCTAATGAGATGTTAAAATTGCATTCCAAAGTATACCTGCTCTTCAATACGATATTGAGACAGAGTACTATATAATTTCACAATTCCAATTGTGAAGATTGTTGAGTGCCAAACTCAAATAATTGAAGGTATTTGTAATGTTTTGAAGATATTTATTTATTAATGCGTGCAAAAATTTCATTCATGCATTTAAAGAGCTCTTCAAATTACAAATTACATTTTCAGTGCTGAATTTTTGCGCGCGTAAATTCAATTGTAATTGCTTTAATTTCCTGATTTGACACGCGCAGTAATTGGATTGAAAATTGTTTCCAAATTTATTATTTTAGAGATCAGTGATATCTTTAATACAACAACGCAATGTGATATCTTTAATACAACAACGCAATGATTTGAATAATGATCTTGTTAAATGAATCATCGCTTTTTTATAAAGAGGGATTAGTTATAACGGTGATGGTAACCGACTTTTTTCCCTAAAATTTCACTTTTGCAAAGGAATGACCAATGAAAACATTTCATTTGTACAAATCAGGAGAAACCTAATACATGTAATATACTACGTTAACTATCCGCTTTTAGTGTTAAAAACATATACAGGGAGCAATTATTAACTGCAAGAAACAGAAATATTTCTTTGCATATCAGATGGGGCAATTTCGCATTGAATTCTTTTTTGTGAGAAAACATTGCTGCTAATGTCCACACACATACGTCACACACGTCACGGTACATATTGTCGTCCTCGACAATATGTCTACTCTTACTGCACATATTGTCGTCAATCAGTATACATATTGTCGCCGGTGACAGTATGTACAAAGAGCCTTTTTTCCCCTCGATCTGCATAATGGACGGCAGAATGAAGTCACGCATCGGCACATTTTGTCGTCGGCGACAATATGTACTGTGAACATTTGAACATATTGTCGTCGATGTATTGTGTTGAAGAATATTTCCTATAGGGTCACGAAGAGAGAGAGAGAGAGATTGACACACACATATACATGTACATAGAGAGAGTGAGAGAAAGAAAGACAAATTGTATGGCAGATAAATAAGTAAACAAGTTGTATTTACTTAGCATTGCTCGCAATACTGTCGGGAGAAAAGGTTTTGGTCGAAAATTAATTGCGTCCAGGATTGATGTACACCACTATTATATGCCAAGATACCATAATTCTTGATATATCTGATAAATCAGCATATTCTTTAATTCTCATTATATATAATAGGAGATTGAATGTTAATTCTTTTTGTTCAGCAATAATGATTATCTGGAAAATATTTTTTGCGTTATTCTTATACATGTGCCGATATAATTGGGGTTGGAGTCAACATCTTTAGCTCACCTGAGCTGAAAGCTCAAATGAGCTTTTCTGATCACATTTTGTCTGACCATCCATCTGTGTTCTTTTCACATTTTCAGCTTCTTCTCATGAACCTCTGGCCAATTTCAACCAAACTTGCCACAAAGTATCCGTGGATAAAGGGATTCAAATTTGTTCTAATGAAGGGCCATGTTCTCCTTCAAGGGAAGATAATTAAAAAATCGTGAAAATTTATTGACATCTTTTAAAAATCTTCTCAAGAACCACTCTGCCAGAGAAGTTAAAACTTATGTGTATGCTTCACTATAAAGTGTAGATTTAATTTTACATGTATTCAGACCATGATCCCTGAGGGAAAGGTTGGCCAACAATAGCTGATCAAAGTTTTACATAAGAATATACTGGAAAAAATCTTTCAAAATCTTCTCAAGAACTACTGGGCCAGAAGAGTTGATACTTATGTAAAAGCTTCATTAGATAGTGAACATTCAAGTTGTTCAAATCATGACCCGCGCCGCAAGGGAAGGTTTGGGGCCACAGTGGGAGATCAAAATTTTACAGAGGAATTTATATAAAAAATATTTAAAAATCTTCTCAAGAACAACAAGCCCATGATTAGTAATGATTATATGGAAGCACCCTAAGGTAATATAGATTCAGGTTTCTTCAAATCATGACCTCCAGGTTAAGGATGGGGCCTCAAAGGGAGATCAAAGTTTTACATAGGAATGTATAGGAAAATTCTTTAGAATCATCTTCTCAAGAACAACAAAGCAATGATTAGTCATTTGAGGGTAGGTACAAATTGTCGCCGATGACAATACGAACAGGACGACAATATGTGCCGTCACAATTGCGCTGCATGAACTGATATACGAGACACGTTTGTGTGATTTGCACACCAATTACATTCACATAACTACAAAAAAAAACCTGTAAGCAACAATATCTGTGGGGCGACAATATGTGCAGTGAGGGTAGGTCACAATGTCGACAGCGACAATATGTATTTGTGTAACTTTTCAGTCGGCGACAATACGTACCTATGGACGACAATATGTGCATTTCAGCGTAGGTACATATTGTCGCCGACGACAATAGGTATAAAACGACAGAATGTACCGTCAGGGACCTATATACTAAGTATATAGGTCCCTGGTACCGTCACAGTTCCTTAAAAAGAATTAATACGTATATTACTTCATCTGACAAAATTGTCGTGAAATAATTAAAGATGTCGATCAAATTGAAAAATTCAACAAATCATTTATACCAATGTCTATATTAATTTTTGTGTGCATTAGTTCTACCACATTGTTGCTCTTCTTAAATCCATTGATGCGCGCATCAATCAATATATGCCCTCATCGTTCGATTTCCATTAGTGAACTCTCCAATATTAGAGGCGCGATTGGTCGTCTGACTGAGACAGCATGGCGTTGCGGATAATACAAAACATGCCAATCTAAATCCAATTTTAAATGTTAAATGTATTTGTCATTCCAATTAAAGAATAGAAGAACTAAAAGACATATGTAAAAGAGCGAGAACCCTAAATTTATCACCCATTAATAAACAATACGGCATTTCCGAGGCATGTGTATTGTTTTAGATGTACCATACGATAAATAGATACATACGATCAACAATAGATATAAATTGATATCGTTGTCATTCCTACTCTTGATGTATATAAAGTCCACAACAATAAAATATTTC